CTTCCCAAACCCAAAAAACAGTATTTGACACCATGAAAACATGTTTTTTGCTCTCCCCTAAATCGATTAGCCTAAGTCACTTAAGTGAGTTAACGTAACCCCCCTAAGTGACTTAGGCTACGTTAAGTGCTCTAAGTCGACTTACGTAAATGACTTATAAGAGACATATAAGTCAAATATAACCTACGATCTAAGTCATCTAAATAAATATAAGTCTTACTAACAGTTACTAACCAGGGCGGTCGTCCAAGTACGGTGCTGCCGCCTCGTGCCGCTGGCGCGTCGGCCGGTGCGAGCTGCGTCTGCGGCGGCTCTGCGGCCTCATTGGTCAACGCCAGCTGCGGCTGCGGACACTTTGTCTGCGCTGGAGTAAAAATTTGCAAATTATGCAGACCTCCGTCACTACGTGACTGCAATTGGTTCAACAAGTGTGCTAACTGCGGCACCCATGCTTGCTCACGTGGTTCCGCCGGGCGAGTCTGGCGCAATCGCACGCGTGGTGCGAAAGCCGCCAGATGTGCAAAGGACACGGGCATTTTGTCCTCCGGCAACTGTTCCAGCTGGAGACGGTCTCGCAAGGTCGGAGGGATCTGTTGCGCATCCTTCGGCAGCAACTCGACGAGCAAACATCCATCTGCTCCTTTCACATCGTGCCTCCGCAAGTGCGCGCGCCACGCTTGCTTCATGGTTTGTAGTAAAGCTCCAAGTTGGAAGCTGGAATCCCTCTGATGCCCATGGGTGTGCGCCAACACTGCCACGCACGCGTACATAATCCTGCTGCTTCCGACGAGGTAGTACAGTTTGCGCAGACTTCAACTTTCGGTTACAGGCCGCAAGGACCGCCTCCATCTCGGCAGCTTGCAGTCCATGGTCAGCGAACCCCTGGTCCAAGTATGCTTGCACCGCCTGCAGGTCCTCGAGACAGCGCACGCTTTCCAGTAGGGCTGGTATACAACCCTCCAGCGTCTGCGCGCGGTCCCCCTGTGTGGTCGCAACCTTCGTTGCTAACTGAGCGCGCGCGGCCGCCATGTCCGCGCTTGCCGCGAAGCTCTGAGCCCACAAAAACTAACAAATCGCTGCGTATAACCGTGCGAAAAGCTTCGAAAAAAATTACTGCCATTAAGTTCACATAACTTCCCATAACTTCCACCGTCGAACTTACTAACTTCCAACCACGTTAACTTATTAACTGCCAGGAAGTCGCCCTAAGTCCAACTTGCCCGTGGTCGAACTTATGAACTTATAACATACGTTGGAGTACTTGTAACATCATTTACAACATAACTTCAAGTATTTCCACCTATTCAGTGGGACGTGAAGGAAATCAGGAAAAGCAAGTGCTGCAGAAGGTTCGCAACATTCAGAAGATCGCACGCGGCACCGCCGAAAATGAGCGGGCTGTGGAGTCGGCAATGTTCCAAGTCAAACCTTCCAAGTTGGTAGTTCCGAGCAAAGACGAGCCTCTGTCCATGTTTGAGGCAGCGACCTGGGGCATGTCGTTTCCAGACTTGTTTCCCTACGCTGATGGCTTGCCGTTTACACCAACATGGATGCCACGGAGCTCTTCCGGTATTTACTGCTACGAGAAGAGCTGCGTTACACTGATACGTTGCCGAGATGGTCACTATCGGCGTCTTGTATAGACCGTGTGTGAAAGTTGCATGCTTTTTGACGATGCTTTTGTCTCTTTCTGTGGGGTTTCTGGGACGGATAGTGCTCAGTTTATGATTCTGATTGCTTCCTCTTGTATGTTGAAAGCTTTGCAGCGAGCGCATTCTGAGGAGACGTTGCTACCAGTGATGTATGACGTGCAACGTAGACTGCACCTGATGCGGGCGACCAAAGCACACGTCATGCGTCGCGGTTTCGGGAGACACTGTCGTGTCATTTCCGAAGTCCACACGGACCAGTTGCTGAAGGCCATGGCTTTACACGGGGACAATGCAGACCTCCGAGAATAGATGCGAGATCCAGCGGTGGACGTATCCCTGAAGCGGGCGTTGGGGGGAGTGATCCAGGCTACGTCCAACATCATCGGTATGGAGGGTCACCGGAGTCAGATCCGTCTACTTGGACGCGCAGCTGCGTGGCACTACGAGATGTTTTTTATACTTATAACTTAGTTATGAATGGGGCACCTAGACTTATATCTTAGTAATAACCATGATAAGTGCCGTAAGTTGTACAAAAAACCGCTTGGAACTTATCGTACTTATTTATATGGTTTCGCTAGTTATGTTAAAAAATTTGCATACTTATAAGTAGAACGTAAGTACGACGAAAAAAACAATGTTCTACTTATTTTCTACTTATCCTACTTATGGGAATAGAGGTTTTGAGGGTTGTCCTGGCATTTGGGCTCAAGCAAATATAGACTGGGGGAGCATATTTGCGGGGGCATGGAGCCGCGCGCGCGATAGCTGGCGACCGACATCCTGTACGCCTTGGATGCTGTGGGTGTGCTGGTCTCTGAGGTGTATAAGCTGGAAGCCTCTATCGGGCTCATTGGGCCACTATAGAGCACTTACTGGGCGCAAGAAAACGGAGTGCCCGGAATTGTGGGAAATTGTGGGAAAACTTTTGGGAGGTAGAATGTGGGAAAGACCCTGCCAATTACCTTTAATAAGGGAAATTGTGGGAAGATTGAAAAATTATGATTTTTTTTGTGGGAAAACCGGGACGGGAAATATTGTTTTTCTTGTTGTTTTGGTGGTTTGGGCAGCGCCACGCGTTTTTGTTTCCGACACCACCGCAGAGATCTCTATATATATAGACGGCCCCAGACAGACTTCCGCGGCCAAGTCCAGCCATGGCAGTTCAGGCAGCCTGCAGCTACTGCAAACGAACAAACAAATATATATATATATATATAGATATTTCTTTTTTTATGCGGCTGTATCTGGTTGAAATTTACATGCGGACAGAAAGAATCAAAACCTTCAAAAACACACCATGTGCTACTTACCGTCGCACTTGTGCTACTTATTTGGTAAGGTCCATAAGTTGCATAAGTATACTTATGTTACATATAAGTATAAGTACCGTAACAGGACTTATAAGTAAAAAAACATCTCGTATGGTTCCGCGCACCTGTTCGTGACCCCCAACATCGCCGATGTGCGCTCAGCCTTGCTACTACAATTGCACTACCAGGCCACAAAAGTTGAAGAGCGCAGCATCGATTTGGATTGGGAGGTGGAGATGCCGCAGTTACCGAGCGCGGCGTCGATGCGGCGCATTGTCGCTCGCGACCCCGTGGCCCAAGCCCGCTGTTTTGCTTTCATGATGGACATCTTTTGCGAAGAAGTTTTGGGCATTCTTCCTCCCTTGAGAACCGGAAGTTATCGTGTGGGTATACCGGCTACCTTCGAAGATGGTGTGGGCAGTTCTTCGCAAGGATGCATTTTTGGTGGTGTTGCGGCATTGAATGGGCCGTTGGAGACCCAAGGCCGTGGTTCCTTACACCCTCACATGCTGATTGTTTTGCTGGGACATGATTTGGGAGATCGTTTGCGCACGCTCATGCATCGGTCGCAACATGGTGAGTTGGTCATCGAGCTGCAGCGGTGGAGCCGGCGTGTGTTGGAGGCTGTTCAACGTTATCAGTACGATTCTCAACTGGCACTGTCGCAGCAGTTACATTGTCCGACGGAGCCCCTACCTCTGAGTGAACGCCAGCGATCGGAGTGCGGCCATCAATATGAGACCATCGCCTTGGTACCCCCAGAGCCAGATGGACATGAAGTGGAAGCGTTGAAAGGACGTGGATCTCTGGCCGCCAAGCTTTTGACGTTGACGGGCTGTTATGCATCCTTGCGACCGAAGTATCTGCGACGCAGTGAGCGTGCGGTGGGAGATGCTGTGTGGTGGAGGAAGATTTTTAGTGAGGATTACAGGCGTTTGGCGATCCAGAATCATTTCCACAAATGCACGACATCCTGCTTCAAGAAGCTTCTTGTACTGAATCCAGTTTGTTTGGTTTTCTTGCCTTTGCTTTCTGATCATTCCTGTGCTTGATGATGTTATGCTTTTGTTGCGCTTATGATTTCCACTGTCGTGGTTTCGGTTGTCGTGGGAGGTCTAGCGGTACTGCCCATCAATATGTATGTCCAGAGTGGTCAGCCTGACAGACTCAGGAAAGCCGTGAAGGGCAAACGTGGATGTCGTTTTGGTTGCTTTCATATTGAAATGATCCGAGACCAAGACGACAAGCCGAAAGTGCTCTGCCGGAAAGGTTGGCCTCGAGTGTCGAAAGCCGGGTTTTCCAGATTGCAATATGATACGGCCAGGAACTGATGGAGATGGAAGAGTTCAAGAACGAAAATCCTCATGTATTCCGGGCCCAACGGGATCATCCCTTTGAGGGAATGTCCAACCCGGTCGCACAAACGGTGATGCGATGCAATGTGGACGTGAAGTACATCGGGCGCACCTTCGCAGAGGCTGACCTCTTGAAATTCTGCGATGGCACGGTGGACGAGGAGCTGCGACTTGAAGTTCCTGTTTCTGCATCTTCTCCGTCGGGACTGTCCGGGAGTGGATTGCAGGAGATGGAACGTCAGGACCCGGCTCCAAGTTCCACCGTTGCAGTCGCTGGATCGAGCTCCGACCTGCCACACGTGGAGCAAGCCATTAATTTACGGGTTGGACGGCGGGGAGTCGTTGCCGAAGAAAGGACGCACCGCCCGTGCACTGGACACTGAGCCGACAAAGATGCGGGCCATGAGAAAGGCGCTGCAACGCATTCCCCTGAGCATCCGATATTGATTACAATCAATATATTGATTTTGATGCCTGCAAAATCAATATCTCAGATTGATTTTTTGAATCAATTTTTCAATTGAAAAAAACCTTGTTTCTGAGCCCTTGAATCAATATATTTTTCAATATTTTTCAATATCCTACACCACCAGAATCAATATTTCAATCAATATTTCTGGACACCTTTTTCAGCTTTTTTCATGGAAAATTGAGTGTAGCATCTGCTATGTACAGGCACCTTTTCCAAGGGGTGCAGACACCTTTTCCAAGGAGAATCTTGGTCACCTTTTCCAAGGATAGACTTTTCCCAAAGTCTTTGCCAAAGCCTTTTCCAAGGCTGCTGGCCCACATTGCCTTTGTTGCCTTTTCCAAGGTCACAAATCTTCCAGGTCGTCCTGGTCCATGTTCCTGGTCAGCAGGAAGTGAACCAGAACCCTGTACTTTGGGCAAATCTTTAGTGTGAGCCTGGTGGAAGACACACCAAAGCTCACACTGTGGGCCAGCTTGCTGATGTGGCCCACATAGTCCTCTCCCAAGAAACACCAATGCTTGGTAGGGTTCATGAATTTGCTGTTCCACAGCATATGTATGAATGTGTGGTGCTTGGCCACAATTACAAAACTGTTTCGGCCCTTTTCCAAGGACCAAGCATTCAGCCATTTGTAGGCATCTAAGAACTCTTTTCCAAGAGTCATGGCCTTAGCAAATTCTCTTGGGGTGAGGAAAGTGCCAGCATCACACCAAAGCTGCACCAGCTTTTCCAAGCTGGAGGCTGCTGTGAGCATCTTTTGTTCACAGAGCTCTGTAGTCCCTTCAAAAAGCTTTTCCAAGCATGGGACCAGAGCTGGAAGCAAATGCTTGGCTTCTCCAGCCTTGCAATCCAAAAAAGCTTTGCTAGCCCATGGTTTTGCTGCATCAGTGAACATTGATAGCTTGAGATTAGTCAAGCGATGCTCCAAGTTCTGATGTCTATACTGCTCTTGAATCTCACTGAACAGTATACCAAGCCTTTCCCAAGGCTTTTTTTTTGGCACCTTTCCAGGGCCTTCATGGTAGACTGAATAATGTAACATGCTACCAATGACATGAGAATATAGCCCTTTAGAAAACAATATATGCATTGCATCAGACCGAACATTTTTGGAAGAGACATGGGGCAAAGTAAAGATTGGATGTGAACTCCATGGGTCTGCCAAATGTTCAGCATGGGTCCCTACTACAAACTTTTGCTTTTCCAAGCTGATCTCTTTGTAGTGTAGGGATGCATC